CATAAGAGACAAATAAGTGGAAGGGAATAAAGGATTTTAAATAATGTTCACGCGGTCCTTTTAAACTATAGCTGGTTCCATTATTGCGAATTATGAGAACGATTCCTCGAGATATTTGAACGTTCGCCACGGGCAAAAGTAGCACAGCAGCCGGATATAAATCGCGAAAGATTCTTTCGGGACCCCACGGTAGCTTTTACGGGTGCCACGCCGAGGATTTCTTCTTTTATTGGAAGGAAAACAATTTTATAGTGTCTACAGTGCTGCTCAACCGTGTTACTCCGTGTCGTGGATCGCTTCTACGGATAGCTCTATCAGTAACACACACTCGTATACTTAAGAATTTCAATATTTTATCGCAGTTTTCTCTCACGAAGATATTATTTTCTCCCAGGAAAGATAATACTGCGAATGTTGAAATTTTCCACAGCCGAATCTTCTTTTCGAATGTTAATATCCTTTAATGCAATATTCTCACCGAATGTTAATGAAAAGAGGAAATAAGAATGTTGGAACTGATATTTTTCTCAATATTTCTCACTTTGCTTAATTAGAATTTCATCTGAGAAAATGTTTTTTTTCTTCAAATTTTTCAACAATTCTAAAAATACCATAATTAAAGTTGACACAGTTTTAAGTAAATACTTGTGCATTTGTCAGGTTAAATTAACAATTTTAAAGTAACATTGTTCAGCGTAGTAATTTCACTGAATATTAATTACCAAAGGAAACTTTTAAATCTTAGTCACTCTACTTAGTTACGATAAAAAATTCTAAGAATATAGTAATTAAAATTCGTAAAGTTTTCAGTGAAAATTTACGCGTTTTATTGCCACAGGCGGAGAAAAATATGAAATCAATACTAGGGGAATCTTTATGAAGTGTTTGATGCCTTAAAGAAGGTCTAAAGGAGACCTGGCTCAGAAACGTGCTCGTAATGACTTGAAATCGGGTGATTCAGATTCTGGCCAAGCTCTTTTACCGTTCACTGTGTTATATGTGTATCGAACGATCTCAGCAAATCTATACTTATATGCTTTTGCAGTACTGATTATGTAATATCGAAATCTCCATTACTACAGAGTAATAAGCTTTTTCATAAATTGTTCTAAATTTGCTGTGATATTTGCCAAAATTTGGAATAATGTGCAAATGTTTGGTAAATGATCGTAATTAGATGTTAGTGTACTTTAGAGATACTAGGGTGGATTAGCAATTGGATATTAGTATCCTTCAGACAGCTGAGCTGGTTTAATTATACTTGAGACGAGATTATTAATTATCTGTATTGATACAAGATTACTATTATTGGAGGAATCTGGTTGAATTATGGGGACATATTTGATACACTACTTTTGTTAGACAAATTTCCAATCTCACTTCCAGAAAAGACTTACTAACAGAAATTCTCAATTTCATTTTAGAAATTTAAAGAATAATCTCAGTTTGGCTCCTTCAAGAATTCTACTCCTAAACATTCGTCATAGACTCTATGTGAAAAGAAATATTTCAAAAAGCTCGGTAAAAAATCTATTTTCTTGAAAATTCTCAATTTCATCGTCTGAAAAACATTCTCCTAAAAAAAAAATCAATCGTTTCCAAGTGTTCGAAATATCTCAGCGTAAAAATGAAAAAATAAAGAAAACACCCAATATAAATTTGTCAAGTATTTTATCATTGTCCAAAGTATGAAATAATTCTTATAGAAGACTCGTAGAAGTGAATAGTTTAACGTACGCCAAGTACTTCCGGTTCGTATAATTCTCCCCACCAGCGGCGGTATAAGCTGTTGCGAGTACGCTTTTCATGGTGCACGCTGTATAAACATGTATACCCGCCCCCGAGTAAAATGGGCGAGCAATGCATGTCGCGCAATACGGAATGCGCAGGTTCGATACGCGTCCGTGTGTTCATTCAGCCTCCTCTTGGCTTCCGGCGTGGCTGCTGCATCTGCTTTCGCGATAATTCACCGTCGTTTCACGCGCCCACGGAACCGGAACAACCCTTTAATTTTACCATCGTACCAGATCGTTCCTGTTTCATCCCCCATGTTTCAGTTCATTTGATTTCGTATCTTTAATTTCTACTATTTTCTACCAATTGTGCAGTTGTGCATTTTCCGTGCACGAAGTTCGAACAGTTAAAGTTTTAAGATACGTGAAAGAAATGTCGAATATTTGAGATTTTCTTAATATACTGAATGTTTGAAATTTTATTAGTTGAATTCTTAATATGTTGAATATTTGAAATTTTATAGTATGTTGAATATTTGATACTTTCTTATCATGTTGAACATTTAAAATTCTTCGGCAGGTATATCGAATATACTTGAAATCATTTAATACCTGCTCTGAATATTTAAAAGCTTGAAATCCCCGAATACTAAAAAAATTGTTGAATACCTGAATACATAAACCCATCGAATATTCACTCGAGATTTTTTAACATTTAAACATTCCTCCTATTTCAAACTTCAAAATACCTAAAAAAAAAAAAACACTTAGAAACATCAAATACTTGAATATCTCGCACTGTAAAATTTAGAGCCTAAATCCTAAAAACGCCAAAAAAATCTACGAATCACCAAAAATTCGAAACATTCCTGCAGACATAAATTAAACCACAATTAAACGACCCTAAAACCATTCAAGAAACATCATCATCAAACATCCCTAAGGCAATAAAACCAAACAGCCTCTAAATTATTCCAACATTTCTACTCAATTCGCGGCACTTCTATGTCAGGTAGCCTAACGAAACCGTTCGATCAAACTACACCCATCGATCACCACTATACACCATACAAAATGTGTGCATTTGAAAAAAATCATATAAAAATCTCCGCTGGAAGTTCAATTAAAGCCCGTGGATTCGTCGTTTGTGAACCGATCGGTCGTGGTTACGGCACACACAGATCCCAAAAACGTCGAATATTTTTGTTGATGAGCATGCACAGCAAGCCTCGCCTCCCCCTTCATTTACGATCCAATAAATTTTATTTGATTTCAACGTAGCGGACAAAAAGGGGTAACGATCGTATCTCTCGTGTCGCGTTTCCAATGCTCGTTCTTCGAGACCGCGCCGCTCGGTAGAACACTAAAACGGAAATAACGTTTTATTGGTGGACGGCTAAAAGGAACTTCTAGAAAAGGTGGCGATGAAGAAGGTGGAGGGGAAGTTTTTGGGTGAAAAAAGGTACCTTTTCCCCGAATTACGTTTTGGTTCGACTAACAACCTGGACAAGGTAACAATATTTCTCACAGAGATTCTATAAACCTGATTGTAAATCGAACGGTTAGTAAATTTAGGTTTCTTGTGAACGTTAGGAGGATATAAGGTTCAGGTGTGGCTAATTTATCGAAGATGGGTTAATTGTGTAGATGGCATTGTGAGCACGTTGTGATTATTATGGGGTGATTAATCGGGTGCTAAGTTCAATGGTGAATTATTGGTAGAATGGCGGTTTTATTAATTGGTAGGTTTAGTCGTGAATTAATTTTCAAAGATGTTCCAAGAGTTTCAGGTTTTTGAGAGGCAAACAGATAAGAGTCCTATTTGTATCGAAACATTGTGTATAATTGGATGTGTTCAGAACAATTGTTAAAAGTTTCGACGCAAATTTTTCTTTTCACCATAGTCAAATGAAAGAAAAATATTTTCATCTCTAGTGTCAAATTGCATTGAGTTATAGGTGAATTGTCAGTAGAATGATAGCTTGGCCAATTGGTAGATTCAGTCGTGAACAGTTAATTTTGCTATTTCTTAGAAAATTCTAATAAGAGAATCTGATCTTTTGAAACATTGTTTACGGGGTGAACGTTTAATAATACAATCTTTGGGTTTTCGAACAGATGGAAGAACGAGAGACATTTTAAAGCCGCGAACAATGTAAAATAGTGTTGTAATGGTGACGATAGGGGGTTAGGCAGTTTTTGCGAGACTGGAAGCCTCTCTAGCGATTGGATTGTTCGTGGCCACACGCGTCGCGTTGCGGTTCTCTGGCGCTGGCACGATCTCTTTGAAAGATATAGTGAACTGTAAAGGGGATACAAATAATATTACTTTCTCGATTTCCTCTTGTTACGTATATCGTTGTGACACTGGGTTACATAAATCACTGCAGTATGCTAATCTGATTGCAACAAGGGGTTGAAGATTCCAATCATTATCTTTATCAATTATAAAATCAATCTTCTATTATCCACTATGTTTTAGTAGATACTATTTCTATATTTAATTAATAAGATATTGAATTTTTTAATACATTTATTTCAACGATGTAGTCTTCTGAAATGATTTTTAGAAATGCAACAAGCGAACATTGGATATTATTACAATTTCAATTTACAATATCTGCTTCACAGAATTATTTACATAAAAAATCCTCTAATTTTTTCACTTTACTGTGCAATAACTTTTAGAATATTATTTTCAGAATTTTACATATTCTACTGGACATTTTTGGTTTTTTCAACTTATCTGTTAAATTTATTTTACACAGGGAATATTTAGTTGCTAGCAAGGGCAGAGGAAATTTTAGATAAAATTCGAGGAAGCTGTAAAGAGCAGACGCAAGAAGAGGGAACATCTATATATACAGTACGTTCATGGTTGTGTTTGGTTTTGAATGCAGGTATCGGGCAATTTCAACAAAGAACGGAACCACGGCATCCTGCTGTCTATTGGCCAGGTCTTCAGGGATTAGTCAGTGATCCCCTGGCATGGCGAGCAAGACTACACACACGTGAGTTTCCTTTTCGAGATGTATTTCGCGTTTCGCCCGCGGAAATATGTATGTACAATTCACTCGAACGTATTAGAACAGAGATTGTTCTCGACGTTTATAGATCGCACAACAAAATGAATTCAGCGTTATTTGTGATAGTAAGTGAATCGCTTCCAGTGAATATTATTTTTTAAATTAATATTTTGTGAATTTCTTCGACAAAAAAGAAACATTCGTTAGAAACTCCAGATGACGAAAAGTATTTGATAAATTATTGAGGAAGTTAGTATTTGTAATGATACAAATGGAACATGTCTGGCGAATATTATTTTGTGAATTAATGTATTATCATTGTTAAAAAAAAAAAATTTCATTTAGATGCACAGTATTTTACGCATTGCTGGAGAATAAGAGAATACAATTTTGTAAAATTGTGCAGCACGTTATTGGTAGATACTACCAATTTTTGATCAAATATTGATCTGTTGCATTCGGAAAGTAGTATATTCGTAATAAAAGTTACTTTCGATTCTAATCGATTCTAGCTTACCTAATACAGTACTAAAACAGTAAACTATTGACGCTTAGATGGACAGTCACTAAAAAGAAATTACAAGTCGAGGAGTTAATTGCTCTTCAACTGAGAGCGTCTTGAATTTTTATTGTAAAAATGAGTTGCATTAACCCTGTTCCATTTAAATTTAACCCGAACATCCTGCAACGCCTCTTCAAGAATCGTCAAAATTCAATTGCGAAGAATTTTCTTAATAAGAAGGTTCGGTGTTCGTAATAGTAACCGAGACACGTCCAGTAAATGTAATTTCGTGAATTAATGTATTATTCTTCCTTGACGTTCGACAATTATTCCCGATATTTTTCTCTCTCTCTAATTACAATTTGTTTTGCAACTGTCCAAATACACCAGCTAAATAGAGGAACGTATCGATGTCTGGAACGGAGGAAACAATATTTATCTCCAAGTAAAGATCGTCACCGGGATAGAGACGATGGAAAAAGAAAAAGTGGAAAGGAGAAAAAATGAAGACGTTGAAGTGAAAAAGATACGTAGCAGTGGAAGAGGGCTCGAGATATTTTTCTCGCCGCGGGATATTTCGTTTTCCGGCTGATATTAGTACAGATTTGACAGCTGTTCGTGTTTGCTTTTGCGACCGTGGAAATCGGTTGACCGAAGCGAAAAAACACGTGTCGTCGCACGATGCTAAATGCCGCTCCAATGGTATCTAAGAAAACAGCTTTTTTTTCGGCTGCATGAAACACGGGGAAAAAATTGACGAGTACCTAACCTCAATTTTTTTCGTCTCGAACAACTCTCATAAATAGTGTCTCAGCATGAACATCGTGAGTTAAACTTTCCTTCGTGTCAGTACAAAGATTCTTTACGTCGATTCAAAATTACTATCCTTTTCGAAATCCTCGCATAAACCCTTTCGACGTCACATAGAAAATATTTACAAGAATATGATATTTTCAACTATGGTGGCGCCGTCTACAATCTTGCCCAAATTTCGTTCACGTTATATTATTCATCGCGAAGAAGTAGACAGAATACGTATTTAACATTTTTCTCTAAACATGTCAGTTCGTTTTCAAGATATTCTAATTAATAGCCTTCCTGCCCGCGAATTTCAAGGGTGATTTTACCCCCTTAAACATGAATATTAGCAGCTAAGAAAAGCGCGTGTCTGATATCTCTGGATTCTCTAGCTGCGTGCAAAATTTGATCGAAATCGGCATACATAAATAGAGCGATGTTTCTTATGAGACTATTAACCCTTTACCTTGTAACGACTCGTGGCAGAGATTCTGGCCAAGATGCGAGAAAAATGGTTACATTCGTAATAAAAGCTACTTTCGATTCTAACTTTTGTATTAGTTTATAATACATCAGCTTTGCTTACCTAATACAGTACTAAAACAGTAAACTGTTGACGCTTGGACGCACAGTCACTAAAAAGAAATTACAAGTCAAGGAGTTAATTGCCCTTCAACTGAGAACGTCTTGAATTTTTATTGTAAAAATGAGTTGCATTAACCCTGTACCATTTCAACTTAACCCGAACATCCTGCAACACCTCTTCGAGAATCGTCAAAATTCAATTCCCTCACCTAGAGTATTTAATACAAACGTAAAACCACTCGGTACTACCCCGAACATTCAGCGGCTAACTCCCGGAACGCTCGTTTCATCGCTTCTTCGCCCGCTGTCCGATCGCCGCTCAACCGTAGAATATATAGCGCGTATCGATATATTATATATTTCACGACGTATGTAAGTCAGCCGCTTGGTATGGAACCCCGTTGGATCCGCAAAAGGCGCAGCAGAAACGCGGATACACCGCACAGTTAAAATATTGCCAGAGTTATTCACGTGAGTGTGGAAAGCAGGGAGGCCACAGGCACCCGTGAAACTCGTTCGGGGTGGGGGGAAAAGGATATAGCATGTGGGGGGGGATTGGAGAGAACAGGCCTCGCCGGGATACGAGGGTTGATATTGAATATGATATTCCTACCGCCGCGCCACCCTCTTATTCGTCCCGCAGTGACATCCGTGGCCGACACGAAACGCTGAAACAACACACGCTCGCCCGTCCACGCCCTTCCACACGCGTTCCACCGTACTTACATGCTAGTATCCTATCTCGTCACCCTTCTTGCTGCACTACCCTCTTTCTAAAGAGGAGCGAAAGGGGGTGGAGTGGGGAGGGGGGGGGATGAGAGAGAGAGTCTGAATACTGTCCTCGTTGGGTGTATATGCTTTCCTTTGGTTCTTCTTCTTCTTTTGGTGAATTGTAAGGGTACATGCGCGCGCGTGTGTACATAGAGTTTGATGATGTATGCGTGTGTGGTTGGTGTGGCACATGTGCCACCGGCGGCGGTGCTGATGTATGCTCTCGAAAGGGGATGTTCTCTTTCTCCCTCTCTTTCTCTCTCGCTCTCGCGATGGCCATCGACGTCACGTGTTCTTTCACTTTGTTTGTGATTTTTTTTTGCGGGGCCCTTAATCGCTTTTACAAATCGCTGGGGCCGTGGAACCGATATACGAGAGAAGTTTCTGAGAGGGAGTTGGCTGTTGGAGTTTCGCGGTTTTCGGGGGTGAATCTTTGAATATTGTGAATTTGAATTTTTGGGGGGGGGGGTTACTTTTTTCTTTGTTTTTTGGGATGGGCTGTGAGGTGTTAATGCTGCGGGAGGTGTAGATGTAGATATGTTTATGAGTTATATACCTTAACTGACCTGCTAGAGTCTACTTTTGGGATATCAGCACCTCGCTGTTAGCACGTTATCTATGATGATTACAGAGATTCTTAGTAGGTAAAGGGTTAAAATAAACAGTACGAGAGTAGTTTCGATAAGAGACTATATACGAAATCATCGACTACGTTGATGGCGTTTACTGAACACGTCTATGGGTTCATCGTCCTCAAAGGGTTATGGCGGGAGGAGACAGTGATCTTGTTGGCTTGAGGGTATTGAGAGAGATTATTCAGGATGCTGGATTATTAAGGTAGTGTTTCTGTCTTGGCGGACAACTGACTATAAAGAAAATTCGGTAAACTGATAAACAGGACGTTTTAAATGGAACAGAGTAATAAAGAGGTATGAAGAGATTTTAAGTAGAACGAGGACAGCATTGATCAGACAGTGTAAAGTCAATTTTCACCGAAGAATACGAATGTTCGTTATTATTCTGTGCAGAATTTATAATACATTTGCAACAATGTAAAACCTCGGAGATTCAAAGCACCCCAAAAAAAAAAAGATCTAAAGAATCCATGTTGTGGACAATATCCGAAGGAGATATTCAGTAAAATTCGGTGGCGTAATTAAGAAGGGCTCAGAAGGCTGCAGCACGCGGTCAGACGCGTTTACGCGAGCGGCACATGGGTCGAGGGGATGATGCAAAAGCGAAGGAGGAATTGTAACAGAGAAAAGGGGGCCAGGAGAGAGGAAAAGAGAGAGAGAGAGAGAGAGAGAGAGAGAGAGGCGTGGGGTCGTCACAACAGTATGGGTTGTGGGACTTTAATTTAATAAAGCAATTTGTAACGGAATACGGAACGAGGCAATAATGGCCAGTCGGCGGGGAGGGTTCTAATGAGCTGCTTACCGCACTCTCCACCCTCTGCTCACGATCGGGCGTTACACGTTTCACGCGATATCCCCTATTCATCTACTTAGAAACTGCGTAAACTCTCTGCAGAACTTTCCATGCCTGGTAATTCGATAAGTCCGTGCTTTTTGCGGAAATTTATGCGTGTCAGTCTCGCCGTCCTGTCATCCCTAAGGCAAGATTGATCTCGCCACGCCGCTACGCGCGGTGTACCGGGTGTTAAAATCGTGCGACGAATTTGTAATAGAGATTCGAGGATCAGGTGTACGAACAGGTAGTTTACTATTTTCTTGTCCAAAATTCTTGCATCGTGAAATCATTATTTTCATTTTCCAACACGTTTTCGTATACAGCTATTTCCTGTCTCTACGAATTAACCCTTTGAAGACGGAGGACTACGTACCGTGTTGAGGTACTGATTGCTTGTGAACATATAACTAGGTCACTATTTCAATCTTCTTATTTTACGCTAAATCATTTCAAAATTGTACTTTTCTTAACACTAACCGTACCACGCCCCGGTCAAATGACCGGTTTTAAAATTTCGAATTAAAACCATGCACCTGTTTTTCCCCCGTATTTTGTTAAAAATAAAAGTATGTAATTTTTTTCTTTTATTATTATCTAAAGGCTATTTTCTGCGTTGTTTCCTATATTAAATTGACAATCACCTGTATTCCTTTCGGAACAAATATGGTTACTTCGTAACCGGTCATTTGACCGGATTACATAAAGTGTCGGTACGGTTATTGCTTAAAAATATGTAAGTTATTGAATGTGTTCATAGTGTTATGTGAACGCATATATGTATGAAAGCATGGTACTCAAAGGGTTAATTGATTCCTGGCGACCGTTCGTAAATCGGGAATTCGTAAAGCGAGTGGTGTGATTCCCCGTACAATTTAAAGTAAAAATACCGATCGAGAAAATTCGTAAAGCGAGAACTACCTGTGATTGGAAAGAGCGATGGATTCGAGATAAAGTTGGAATTTATGATACTTGTGAGAAGTTGAATGAAATTTCGAAAGATCATTTTGTTAAAGAATTGTTAAATTGGGGGAGAAGGTTGGGAGAAAAAGATGGGGGTTAATCAAAGGAGGAAAACTATCGTTTGGTACTATGGTAATTTTATTGGTATCAAAGGACTAATAAATTGCAGGTACATTCTCGTATATAAGCTACTGGACCTTTGGACGATTTAGAGAAGGGATAAACGTTCATGCATACATGTTATGTTAGGTATAGAAACTTCATCTTCTGTTTTATTGTTACAAGAAAATTGTTCATACTTTACTTGGTATGATTTTAGAAGTCGTTCGCCTAAACAATTTACTCAAAGATTAACGATGAAGATGTACTACATTATTAATTTTTACACTCTGCATGCGCAAACTTTATTAATAGCATAATTTCATATGAAAATTCATAGACCAAATTCTAATCGCTTCACTTATTCCAACAAAATAAAATCAATTTACAAGATACGATGTCATAAACTGAACAAGATCACTCAACAAGTAACTGGGCGTGTTTCACTTACTTCCACGAATACTAAATCCTCTAAAAATCAAAAATTAGTATTCATTTACTTGCACTAATATTTTACACCGCAATAAAAAGGAATCAGGTAGAACAAAATTTTCCAAACTAAGCAAATAATCTTCAAAAAAATCATGTTCCATTGATAATTAAACCAACTCAACGATATACAGGGTGTTCCATTTATCTCTTGCACCTAAAATATCTCCACTCGTTTTACAAGTAAAGTAAACTGTCTTTGTAAAACAATTCGATTTAAAAGGGTGTATATTATGACTGATAGAACACCCTTCACATTATTTTCGAAACTGCAAGATTTCAAGGTCACCTGCAGTTTTTCATTCCATAAAACCTAATTTTTTCCATTCTATGACAAATTCAACAAACTATTCTCATAGGACCATGAAATCACTTTGAATTTTTTCAATATATCCTTATTTATAATTTTTTATTATAGAGTATTTCGTGACAAATGTAACAAGGTATACACTAGGGCTCTTGCAAAATTTACATTCGGATATCCGGATACTGTCCAGTGTCTGTACGGGCCAAAGCCACATGTGTCGAAATCGGTCAACGTTGCTCTGAATTGCAAACTGTTAAAAATTATGAAAATCACTGTTTTTCACGACTTTCATCCTACAATTGTAATAAATCTAAAGATTCTTACATCTTTCGATGCCTGTCGCTTGTTGCTGCATCATCCGATTTCGATGAAATTTTCAGCATACATACAATGGACATGGATCTACAAAACGTACGTTTTAAATTTTCACAACAAGCTCAGGTAAAAAAGTTGTAAACAGTGATCTTTACAATTTTCTTCGCGATTCCCACAAATTGCAATTTTTTCCAAATTTTTTGCACACGTCATCTAGTAAACTAATCCTTGAAACTTCTCAAAGAAACTCAAGTCGTTTGGTCCAATTTTAAAACAGTTATACTGTTCTAACAGTGACCGGAAATTAATGACCGCAACTGTACGCGTGCATCTTTTGTTTCTCAAGCGATCGGCAACTAACGATTCTCGACAATCAATCGTCGTCAAGCCATCAGCTACGTTACATTAATATTACGTATAAATTACATTTTTTTTTTATACTCTACAGTATTATGCATACTACTTTCATCATACATACGTATTTTCCAAATTATTTAAATTACCTTTTTAATTACTTTTTCGTATTAATATTAGGTCATCAGATAAGTCGTGTCGTTTTTTGCCGATGAGTTTAAGTATAAAATGTTACATTTACTTTTAATCGTTATTGTCCATCGTTTTCAATGACTCTCAATCAACCGCTTAATTCCATTTTCAAAAAATTCTTGAGGTTTTGAATTAAAACACTGGTTTATCGGAAAGATCCAAAACCCCATTGCGAAGTTTGGAAAACCACCTTTGACATTTTCTTACACTTAAAACATCTTTACCGTACACGTCACAAATATTTTTTAGCCGACAGCATACAATGCTGAAAATGAATTTCGTTGACGCTCGTTGTTTGAATTTTCTTAAATGGAACCTCTTGACCTCTTACCTCTTGAAAAGCATAGGGAGAAATTTTCATGAACAGTTCGCCGAAATAAGATACGGATGTTTATATAAACTGCGATGAGAGGCGACACGACTTATGGGATGACCTGATATATTACTCTTCGTATTTCTTCTTTTAATCGCTTTACTTAAACTTGATCTCTTCAATTGAAATCCAAGCAAGGAGAGTTTTATGTTTGAGTTATCATGATAAAATATCGGATACTCGGTTCCAAGTACGGATACTCAGAGCCGGATAATAAGAGCACTAGTATATACCTTTGCGTCCTCAAAATGACCTTGAACATGAAAAATTACTAATATATCGTTATCTATTATTCTTTTATCTATGATTATTTCAAGTGCGAGAGATAAACGAACTACCCTGTATACCTACCTACTCTATATTCGTATAAAATATTAAAAGACAATTTTCTCGCAATTTTCCACACGATTAGTTCGCCGAACCTAAGATACATGCTAATCACATTGGTTTTCTGCGTTAGATGGTCCGTGAACATGTTCACGCCGTGATAATGCCAGGCCAATTTCACCCCTCTGTCACGTGCCGTTCTATTCAACGGCGTTATCTGTTCTGTAGGATCGTGTCTCCCTTCTGGAGTAACCAGGATCAACCGTGAAGGCAAGGATAACGATAACAAAGTCCGCCTATTTGCGGAACGCTAAGCTCACGTGGCCGCCACGTGCCGGCAACCGTCGAGACGCCATGATTGCGGTCTATCGCACAAGTGTTTAACCCTTGAACGCGTGATTCCGTCAAATTAAACTCTAATCTCCCCTTTTTCTCATCGAACCGATCCTGAAATGACGTACTAACGTTCCACGAGACATGGTAAATATGTAAATTGGAGAATTGTTGAATTGACTTTACAGGGGTAGAGTAATGTAAAGAGAGGAAAAGTTGGAAATTTGGAAAAAGGAGAGTGAGAAAATTAGAGGAAATATGTGGAGAATTGAAAAATTTGGATAAAAGAAATTTTGGTAATTTTGGAAATCCATGAAAAATTGATAGAGTCGGAAATGTTGAATATTGAAGGAAAATTGTCTAAAGTGGAATTAGGAAGTGGGGGAAAAATTGGAAAGCTACAGAAAGGAAATTTTGCTAATTCTGGAAATAGAAGGAAAATGTTGAATAGTGCAGAGAAATTGTTTAAAGTGGAAGTTGTGAGTTTGTAAAAATAACGACTTTCTAATTTTTAATTCAGGTGACATTTATAATCGTCAGGAAACGTGTTCCCAGAATTAATATCACTTTTTAATGTTGATGAGGTGAACGAGATAGAGAGATTGAACAGAGTACCGCAAAAGGTCGCAATCACGGCGTGTTATCGTGGAATAATTGGATGGTTTTTAATAGATGTGTCGTACAGAACATTTTTGGCGTGTAACGAGATGTAAATTTATGACGCAATTATCGATAGCCTATGTAAATTGTCGATACGAAATGCGCGACCGTTAGCAAGAAGAATGACGCAAAATTGATGAAGATTAATTGCTTGGTAAAAGGGAGGTCAACTCTGATTGGTTGGATAAGTTTCGCTGTTCGAACCACCAAATAGACAATATCAATATGATAATCCTTTTTCAACAGAAAATTACAAATTTTCAAACAAATTTACCATCTGCTATACCATTGTTACCATTTCATCTAAAATGATATTCAAAGTAGTAAGTATATAATTTAAAATTGACTTCTACAAAAATACTTGTGAAATATTCACTGTCACTTAGACAAATTGTTATTCAGTATTAGAGTGTTATTTAAGGAGTCACTATATCATAGTAAATTCTAAAAATATAGAACTCACATGAAACTGAATATATCAACATCATTGAGTGACACAGGCAGGTGTATCTTCTCCGACGAAACAAGTATAATTTCTCAAAATAATTTCATGAAAATTTCTCTAAAGATGAATATAATACTATCATACTTATCATAGAATATCCATTATTATATCAACGTAACATCGAAGCATAAATGACCAAATCCTAACAGAAATATCTAAACAAAAATAGATACTACCCCTTCATACTCCTAAAAGATCTTAAACACGCTAAATCGTTAATTTGCATTCAAAATCTAAAAGAAACATATTTATCACCACGACACAATAATCCATCGTAACGATCACTATATCCCTTCACATTCCTAGAACAACTAAACCAAAAAATCCAGAAGCTAATTCTCCTAAATTTTCCTGCCATCAAACATACACACATATCCAACAGTAGAGTCTAATCCGAAAACAGAGTTCGTTTTCTTCCCAAACAATCGAGTCTTAAGTCACTGGGTATCGCGCACCGGATGCGTCGAGTGGCCGTGATTTTTTCGGCGGATGAATAGAAATAACGAGGAAAAAGAAAGAGAGAAAGGGGGGGGGGGGGGAGATGTTATTGAAGCGACGAAGAGAATCCCTGGAAGATATCGATGTTACAGTGTCGCAACAGCTGGGTTGTCAGCAAACGATGACAGGCTCCGGCGGAGCTGGCGAACACGAGGGTGGCAAGAAGAAGCACACCAGGCCGACGTTCAGCGGCCAGCAAATCTTCGCCCTCGAGAAAACGTTCGAGCAAACGAAATACCTAGCTGGCCCGGAGAGAGCTAAATTGGCCTACGCCCTCGGCATGTCGGAATCCCAAGTCAAGGTAAGCGTCTAGAGTTTGTTCTCCTTTTTTTTCTTCTTTCGTTTGCTGCCTTCTGGGGGAGTCTCTGACGATTAAGAGGCTATTAGTTTGTCGACATGCTCGGGTTTTCTCGTTGATGAGTCTGTCGTGGTCCCTTGCTGAGCTATTAGGAGTTAGGTGTGAGACGTTTTCTTTATGCGTATGTGGAAGTTTACGAGAAAAGAATTTCGGAGGTATTGGAAAATTTAGACGAATTCTTTGGCAGTTGGTGAAGAGGAGAATGTTTGTATTGTATATCTACTGTGTCAGAGAAGTGTTCGATTTATATGGGAAATTTGTTTGTTTTCTCCAATTAGGTAATGTTAGCAAGGCAATTTTGGTACCCTGAGAATTTTGATTCTCCTGAAACGCTGCAGTTTGTAGAGAACCTCGATAGAAATATCGTGCAACTTTTCTTTTTTGCCATTTTTTGGTTCTTCAGGGTAAAAATAGTCTCTGTAAAACCTAATATAACCATAAGACGCACCTTTTTACATAGAAAAATCGACTTAAAATTGGAGTGCGTCTTATGGTAAGGTAACATTAAAATACGAATCTTTATACTGTATCGAAGCTATTAGAGAAGTTCAATTACTGGCGCAATATGTTAATAAAATTAGTACAGCACGCCAGTGATGGTAGGTGAATATTGCTAGTACGAATTGTTTTAACAATAAATAAATTAAGCAAGAATTTGAAAATATCTTTATATACCTAATAAAATATTCTTTTCTAAAAATCGTCCCATAAATATGGGGTGATACGGTAACCGAAAAATACGGTACCTACTTATTCAAATTATTAATATATATAGTTTCAACTAAAAGTATATCATTTTATCAAAAGATGAATACGTCTGCTTTTCAATTAGAATAGGCGCATTTTCACCCAGATATCGTTAACGTAAGAAAACTACGAGTAGCATGGCAGGGTTAAAATCGGTCCTCATGAAATCAGACGCACGGCGTCGCCAGGATG